CACCACCATCCGCAGCACTCCAACCTCCACCACCATGACGCCCTCAACCTCCCCTACTACTTCTGCTCTTCCATTTACACCCTGTTTCTGTAAAATTGGAGATGCTATTTATTCACCTGGTTAGTGTACCTATTTTACAAGATCTTATATTTCCTTTTTTTTGTCTTTTTTATTTTAGTATTTTTTCTTTGGATTTTTTTTAGTGCAGTCTTATATTTTTTAACCTTTTTATGTTATCATTTATAATCTATCTTATTTGGTGTTCTTTTTTTTTTAGGGGATTTGATATATAACAAAATGGATAGTGATGGATGTAGGTTTTATGCCATCTGTAGTCCAAGATGTACAGTTGAACGACATACTGTAAACTGTAGCACCTCTACTCCTCTTACTACTACTTCACCTCGATGGTCCACGACATCATCTATTTTGCCTACATCATCTGGAACAGTTCCTTTTTACGGTTGTGTTTCTGCTACCTATCCTCCCTTACAGGTATGTAATTTCTCTGGTATAATTGTTGAAATAACATGCATATTAGGTTGATAACAGAAAGAAACAGCTTGCAGTCTTTAAACCTTATTTTTGGAGTTTGGGAGATTACATTTTTCTATTGATGGGCATTATACATGATATAAAATCTTTATGTTCCTTCATAAATTATTTTTTTTTCCAGACTGAGGAATCAAGTTATAATAATAATTTTTTTACTATAATTTTAGTTCTTGTTAAATATTTTCTGTTCCACTTCATTCCACAGATAATAAACTTTCTTATATTAATAACAATAACAATAATAATATTGCATATAGAGAGGATTTTTTTGTGTATATTTTTTTTCTTCAGTGAAGAGAAAAATTAAGAGAACATGGAGGCCTGTATCTGTTTCTATTCTTCTGCCCTCTTTCCTGTACTTCAATTCACATTTTTGAGAGGGATTCTTTTATTTGACAGTGATGTTGTGTGTGGTACGCACATGTACATGGAAGTACGATATATATAGCTAGTAAAAAGGATATAAGTTCCTTTTACAGAAACCTAACTCTCCAAAGCACAGAAGACATCCTCATGCAGAAGAAATAACTGGAATTAAGGTTCCCACTCCCTTCTGACATAAAAGATTGTACAATATTGACACCTTTGTACTACCAGTGAAGATTTTTATTTTAGTCTTTACCTCAGATACTGAAAGCAAAACAGTTTTTGCGCCTCCATATAGTGATCAGAAGTATGAATACCTCTGGTCACAGATTAATTTCCTTTCCAACACCACCACTGCTGGAAATACTATACCATTAAACTAAAAATATGAGTAAAGTTCATTTCTGTTTGCAAACTCCTGTGACAGCAATTTTTTAATTTTTTTTTTTTTTTTCATTTTGCAGCCTGGGGAAAGATACAAATTATCCAACTGTACAGAACTCCTCTGTAAGGGAAACAACAAGGTAGAAATAATCCCAACACACTGCCCACCTGTAAAGGAAATTACTTGTGCAAACAAATATCCAGCAATACTGGTACCTGATGAAAACGGCTGCTGTTACCACTATGAGTGTCAATGTAAGCACCAGAAGATTGAGGAATATATATATTTTTTTTTTAAAGCTAAGCTTTGCATGGATTATATGGGCATTTTGTTTTCCAAGGGTTGACATATAAATTACAGTGTATTCATTTCAGTTTCTAAATTCTTTCTTCTACAATAATTTTAATGTTAATATTCTAAATATTTTTTTTCTCTACCAGGTGTGTGCAGTGGATGGGGTGATCCTCATTATATTACTTTTGATGGAACCTACTATACCTTCCTTGAAAACTGCACTTATGTCTTGGTGAAACAGATTGTACCTAAATATGACAACTTCCGTGTTTACATTGACAATTATTACTGTGATTCAAAAGATGGACTTTCTTGCCCTAAATCCATTATTATTTTCTACAAATCTGCAGAAGTTGTGCTGACCCGTCAACTCATGAATGGTGTGATGACCAATGTGGTAAAAGACACTTTTCATTTCTCTCTTTTTACAGGAAAGAAATAAGGTCCATACACTTTGCTGATTCTCCTTTGACATAAAGTCCATTAGAATAGCACATCACAGACCTGATGAGGGCAGAGGGTATCATTAGGAAAAAAAATAATGATTACACCAGTTTCTAAGAATAAAATGTCAGAAACAGCTTAGCACTATGCAGATATGAGTACACCATATGTGTATACATAAATAACAATAGGAAACAGACTAATCCAGCTGACAGACAAGACAGACAGAGTGTTTACACTGGTGCTTGATTCTTGTTTCATAAAAACTAATAATTTGTGCCATTCACTTATGTAAACAAACACATGAAAAAAAAATGCAAATCACAAGCATGATTCTTCTCTCATTGTGAAGATGGATATGTAACTATTATCAGGTGGATGACTAGGGACTGCTTCATCTGTATAGGGAACTTCAGGTACCAAAGAGATCTATGACATTACTTCTCCTTCAGTTCCCTGCTGGGAAGAGAGATATAGCTGAAGAAAAAGGGTTATTGGGGGTGTCACTTCACCTTCATGATCCTAAACTAATGCTGGTAAACCAGTGAAAACAAAAAGTCGGTCCTGCTGTTACACTGGGGAATTTATTAGTTGATTAGAGAACGTAAAGAGGTGGGAGGAAAAGTTTGTGTCAATATGCACTCTCCCCTTACACAGCCATGGCAAATTCTCCTTAGCTAAAGTCAAGAAAGGCATGCTGAAACAATTATTCTGGTGATTCTCTGTGAAAGAAAACAGTAACTTACAGTTTTAACTCTTACTTTATTCTGATTCAATGAGAAGAAAGTTGCAGAATAATTCCTGGCAAAAAGTTATTATGCAAATATGTCTACCTTTATTAGATCATATAAGATACAGACTGCATATGGAACAGATTAGATTAATAAATAAATATGACCACTACATAAAACCGGCACCAGGGACATTTGGCTTAATTTTGAACAAAGACAACTCTTCCAATACCAAGTCATATGTAGTACAGTGTAATATTGCAGCCAGGTTGTTACATTATAATGGCAGGAATATTCCTGTAATCAAATAAACTACCACTTATTTTCATAAAAAATTATTTACAATAAACATAATTAAGAGACATACAAAGAATATACTTGGATTTAGAATGCTGTGCATTAGCATATATATGCTGTTATTTCAATGCCAATGAGCATTGGATGTGATGCATAACAAGAAGCAGTTATGCTAAGTAATGAAGATCAGAAAATACTTAATTTAAAACAATCAGGCAGAAGCAGTGCTTACTCTGAAGTTGTTTTTGTTTTTTTTTTAACCCTGTGTTCAGATGTACTTCAACAAAAAGATTGTCAAACCAGGCTTCAAAAAAGATGGCATTTCTTTCTCCACACTTGGCATCAACATGATTGTGGAAATACCAGAGCTTGGTGCAACCATCACCTTTAGTGGGATGATTTTCTCTGTGAAACTCCCATTCAGCAAATTTGGCAACAACACCGAAGGACAGTGTGGTAAGATGAGTTGGAGGTGGAACTCCTTCTCCGGCCTACCATGGTTATTCTCACCCACTCTGGCTATGAAGCCAGACTGAAATCTTTAAACAACAGTAAAATGGAAATTATATCAGTTCTGCTCTTCCACTTCTGTGGGATCAAAAGATCAAGATTTCAACAACCTCTTCTTTTTCTTTGGGGCTGGAGTTTTAGGTTTGTTTAGTTTTCCCTAACTGTAATTATAGTTTGTATAAAGAAAGCACTTCCTATTAAGCAAGGCACCTTATACATTTCATGAGACCATCACATATAAGCATAGTATCAGCACAATAATGTATTCTACACCTCTAATGTGGCTTATGAGACTTACATAGCTTGTCTCTTCCAGGAACGTGTACAAATAATAAATTAGACGAATGCCGCTTACCAAGTGGTAAGATAATTTCTTCCTGTCCTCAAATGGCTCATCACTGGATTGTTGATGACAACAAGTCCTGTCATGGAATACCAATACCACCAATTGTAACCACACCTCCACCAAAGCCGCAATGTGAAACACCTCCTCTCTGCAAGCTTATCTGGAGCGAGTAAGAAAACAATCGATTTGATTAACTCATTCTAAAGAAAACTGTCTCAATATCTCACAAGAAGAGTAAGAGCTATAGCGCTAGCACATGATAATAGCTGAAAATGTCAGCTTAATAACAGAATATATATACTAAAAGGCCTTTTCAAAAGAAACTGCTCTTCTTTAATGACATGCATGCCAAAGATAACTGAGTAAGGAGAGGTGAAGTCAGAAAATCAGGAATGCAGCAAGCACTGAAATCCATGCTCCCTGATTTGTGACAATACAGATTTATATTATCTTTCTTCCTCCCTACCTTCCAGGGTATGCTCATTTACTAGCTTAGAGGTGGACCTGCTGGAAAGCAGTTCTGAGAAGGATCTGGGAGTCCTGGTAGATAGTAAATTATCCATGAGGCAGAAATGTGTCCTTGTGGCCAAGAAGACCAATGGAATCTGGGGTGCATAAGGAAAAGTGTGGCCAGTAGTTTGAGAGAGGTCATTCTCCCCTTCTACTCTGCTCTGGTGAGGCCACATCTGGAACACTGCATCCAGTTCTGTGCTCTCCAGTTCAAGAGGGACAGGGACTTACTGGAGAGAGTCCAGTGGAGGGTGACAAAGGTGACTGGAGGATTGGAGCATCTCTCTGATGAGGAAAAGCTGAGTTAGCTGGGACTTTCTAGCCTGAAGAAGGCTGAGTAGAGACCTTATCAATGCCTGTAAGTATCTAAAGGGTGGGTAGAAGGAAGATGGAGCCAGACTCTTTTCAATAGCTCCCAGTGACAGGACAAGGGGCAATGGGCACGTGTTGGAACATAGGAAGTTCCATTTAATCACGAGGAGAAACTTCTTTACTGTGAGGGTTACAGAGCACTGGAACAGGCTGCCCAAAGAGGTTGTGGAGTCTTCTTCTCTGGAGATACTCAAGACCCACCCGGATGCAGTCCTGAGTAATGTGGTCTAGGCAATCCTGCTTTACTGGGGGAGCCAGACTAGATGATCTCTAGAGGTCCCTTCCAACTCTGACAATTCTGTGATTCCGTGATTCCTTCCTGAAGTGGGAAGTCCTGTCTGATAGGAACAGATTTTCTATAAAGACCAGTTAGTATAAAAGGTTGTGGTTTTTTCTGTCTGCAGGATTTTTGCAGAATGCCATGCTGTAATACCACCAGAACCATTTTTCAAAGGCTGTGTTTTTGATGGCTGCCGCATAGCTAATGAATCCATGCAGTGTTCCAGTTTGGAGATATATGCTACAGAGTGTGCTTCTAGAGGTGTCTGCATTGATTGGAGAGGAAAGACCAACAATACATGCTGTAAGTACTGCTGAACTCAAAAATGTATGTGAGAAATGGTAGTGTTTTATTCAGAGAACACATCTTACATCTAATACTTGACAACTGTCTACAAAAACACAGCTATGTCTTTACTCACATAAGCTGCAGGAGAAGATAAAGATCCAGTCACTTTTGCTACAAAAATGCATTCACGGTCAATTTTTAAATTGTTTTTCTTCTTCTTTTTCCATACAGCATTTAACTGTCCAGCAAGCATGTTATATAAGCCATGTGGACCCATTAATCCTGCTACCTGTGACCCAAGGTACGGATAGACAAAGAAAGCCACCCCAAAACAACTGCTTTCCTTTTTGCTATTTTTACCTATCTGCTTTCTTTAGAAAATGGAGTTATATCTTCTCAATTTGAATAATTGATTCAAGATTTATAAGTGTCAGTCAGCTCTTGGAATATGCACTTCCTGCGGCACATCAGAAAATGTACATTCTTTTGTCTCCCTTCTATCTGACATGGTGACCTTCTACATACACTGTACTTTTTCCTCCTTCACTGCAAAAATGTTGTACTCAAATACATTAATTCCTCCCATTCCAGGGGTGTTGAGCTTCCTGCCTATGGAGTAACTGAAGGATGTTTCTGTCCTGAGGGAATGATGCTCATGAGTCAAGACAGCAATGTGTGTGTCACTGAATGCTGTAAGTTATCTGTAGCTGGTTTGGGGAATAAATTTTTATCAGGATTGATAGTCAAGGGGACTGTGTTCTACTTCCATCTTCTACATGGTCAGACCATGGCCTCTTTAAGTTTCTTTAGACTTCCCATTTAAAAATAGAATAATACTAATAAATATTACCTTTTTTCCATCTTCTTTCCTTACATGAGACCTACCAAGATGGTAGAAGTCTACACTTCAGAAGGAAAAATCTTCACAGTATTTCTATTTGAAACTGCCCAAATTTACTTCTTTATGTCAGTTTTTAGTTGTCTAAATCTCCATATTTTATTTTTTTTATTTTTTTTTCTTTCCAGCCTGCAGGGAACCAAATGGAATATCCAGAGAGGTGAGTATCACAATCAACGTGGTATGTCAAGCACAGACCAGTGAAGCTTGTATTGAGGACGACTTTAGGTTTTTTCCAAATGTTCATTACCTTTACTCTTAAAAATAATTATGAGTGTGAGAGAAGAAATCGCATTACTCCCAAAGAAATTTAACAGGAAGTGATGGAATTTTCTTTCAATAACCATCACCTCAAATACTGAAAAATTTTAAAAAAAATAATAAAAGAAAATTAAAAGAGAGAGGGGGAAAAAAAAAAAAAAAGAGGGATAGATGGTAGTAGTGGAACTTGAAAGTATGTGCTGTTTATATTTCCACAAATTTGACTTGCTAAAGTAGCTAGACATCAAGGGACAGACGGATAACAAAGTTTAGCTGTTGCTGACGACATCGATAGTCTGCCTTCTCGGTTCTTCAGATGCATACAAATTATAGATATTTTTCTCTGGAACACTGATAAGGCTGCAGATGGGTAACCTGTACCCTGACATGAGCCATAGGCTTTCTGCCCAAGCCCCTGGGCACAGAGAACACAAGTGGCAGCTTTGCAAAGAGTAAGGAAAATGTTCTGGTTTGGCACTTTCCCCTGTAGGGCTCGATAGACTTTTTCAACATTGACTAGCTGTCAGTTATGAAAGAAAGCTTTTACTGTACGTGGTGTATATAAGAAAAAGGTACCATAAACTCCTGCTCTTGATTAGCACAGTCCAACATGATGGAATATGAGATCCAGTTGATTTTGAATACCCCTGTTGTGTTGTTTTTTCTCCATCACGTGTTGATAGTCCAGATATCACTGTATCCATGAATAAGTCAACTAGAAACAAATAGAAATACTTTAATTTTTTTTCATCTTTCTTTTTATTTTTTATATAGCCAGGAGAAAAATGGACAAAAGATTGCCAGGAATGTGTCTGTGACAAAAATACACTTAAAGTGCACTGTAAAAAACACCAGTGTTCTCTGACACAGCAAGTATTTTGTGATGAACCAGGTTACGTGCCTGTTCAGATACAGATACCAGAAGATCCATGCTGTACCAGGACTCAGTGCTGTAAGTACTGTCTTAGTTCTTTATTATGGGGAATATAATATATCCATTTTGGGGAACCAGAGCAAGAAATTACCCTTTTTTTCATACTTTGCATTGATTTCATAATGCTTTTCTCCCTCATCCCACTTGCTGGGACCTTCTTGCAGAACATTTACTAGATGCCTGAAAATGAAAAGCTTTTACATAGTTAAGACACAGAAATGTAACTAGAAATCTTCTATAATTAAACATTCAAAGCCTTTAATGCTGCCACTACATGAAACAATATTTGAAAAATATTGAAAGCATTTTCAGTTTCAAAGACCAGTATTTTTTTTTTTCCCTAGGCTCTGAGTGTCATCAGATTTCCCAGTTGGTACAAATTTATCTTTGGAAGTAACTCTTCCAGCAATCGCCACTCTATTCTTCTCAAACAATGCTTTGTTTTACAAAGATTATGAAAAAGCCCATTCACTTAAAAAATAGCTGGCTGGGGAAATATACTGAATTGGTCATTTGAGTAGCTTGTGTAAATAATACCATGTTGGCCCCATGGAAAAACTTCTGCAGTTCATGCAACAAAAAATTAATTTAATTTAATATTCCTGAGTTCATTTTTTTCTATATTCTCTTATTTTAAACAGACTGCAACACTAGCCTCTGCCCCGAGGTCACACCCCAATGCTTTGAGGGACAGGAAGTAGTAACAATAATGCAAACTGGAAAATGCTGTCCTACCTTCGAATGCAGTAAGTACTATGCACCTTCTTCATGTGTTATCCACTCCTTTATTTTTCTAAGTTTCTGAATACAAAAATCTTAAAAGAGAAGTATGCAAATTATGTGTTATCATATTGGGACAACAAAGCAGCAGGATTTTTATATACTTCTCTTTCTTAAAACTTGCACCTCTACGACACCATCTTTCTTCCTTCTTTACAGGGCCTGGCTGTGTCATCAATGAAACATACTATGCAGTAAGTACACAGAGTAACTCACTATAAAAATACACCTTTACATAGGTTCCCAATGCAATGTTTTTGAGACTTCTATCATGGACCATATTTTGCAGAAAATCTGAGGTAAAACATCCTTAATTATTTAAATGAGGTCATAGAACAACATCCTCCTTACAAATAAAAACATTTTCTGCTCTCCTTTCTGCATTTAATTCCAAAATGGGTGATATCAAAACAGAAACTCTGATTAAATGAATTAACTAAAATTGTATTAAGGATAGTTTAGCCCATACGTAATTCAGCTTTGTATTGTCTGTGACGTACATACACAAAGTAAATTGCTTTCCTGAGTAATAATGACTTTTATTCTGACTTTCCCCAGCCTGGAACTGTCATACCATCAGGCCCCTGTGAGGAATGTACTTGTTCTGAATCCTCTTACTCAGGCCCTCACCATACTGTCAAGTGCAAGCCTGTAATCTGTGACACATACTGCCCAGAGGTGAGTGGTTCTTTCCTGTCACTAATTCCTACCTGACTCAGCTCAAATATATGCCAGTTAAAGTCAATGTCCTTACTCAATGTCATTTCTTCTCTATTCACAACAGGGTTATAAGTATACAAAGCAACCCGGACAATGCTGTGGCACATGCAAGGCAGCGGCTTGTATAATGACTGTGGGAAGAAACATCACACATGTGCTCCAAGTAACTATCTCTGGTTTAGTTCCCTTTTGGTCATCTCTGTTAGTCTTTCCTCTCTTTCCTCTCCTTGTCTTTGTCACATTTATTTGCTGCATCTTTTTTCATGTTGGACAAATGCTTATTCAGGCAGAGAATGGACTTCCACACTGCTTGAAACAGCACCTCGAGCCATGAGACTTCCAGAAGCAGCTGTTACACCGAGCAATCGTTTTCAGAAACCAACAGAGAAAAATACATAGGAGAAAGCATAAGAGAGCCTTCAGCTCTGAAAATAGAGCATCCATTTTGATAAAAGTATAATTTTATCTATTAGACACAATTTTCTTTACACCATTTTTTTTAATTTTATCTAGGTAGACACAATTTTCTGCTCCATACAGCCAATCTCAAGTTGGCTGACAGCTTTAGGACAGGATGTGTCAGTGAAGCCAGCAGAAATTCTGCCATGAATCTAAATGGTCATGCCTATAAATTCTGATGACAAGACCATTGATGCACATATTGATATGAGAATATGGCAATTGTTCAGAATAATCAAACCACAATAGACAACAATAATAAGACACTGTTGGGGTTTTTTTGTTTCATTTTTATGCAAGAAGATTTTTATTCACTTTAATTTTAACTATTTTCAGGTTGGAGAATTCTGGAACCCACCTGGTGATAACTGTACAACTTACTCATGTGAAAAACGTGATGGCCAGTTCATTCAAGTAGTCTTACAGAAAAGCTGTCCTGCCTTTAATCCTGATGAGTGTGATCCAGTAAGTATTCTTCTACCAGTTCTCATGTTTGAAAAGATTACCATGGCTAACAAAAAAGAAAATACCTAGCAGAAGCATCACACAGGATGTTGCTCTTATTTTATCCTCTCCAAAACTGGTCCTCATTAAATTTCATTTCAGAAAAGCAAATCAGAATTAAAATGGGTGATATATCAATTCTCACTAAGAACTGAGCACAAAAGAAAAAGATAAAGCATAAGGTTTTGGATTCCTAAAAGTGGTAGGTGATCTAGAGGCAAGAGTCTTATTGAAAGTGGGATTTTTATTACTAAATTATTTAAGATTATAAATTCTATTTTAGAATTCACTTTTTGACAGCAAAGGTAAAGAAAAATAAGCTACTTCACAACATCATTCAATTTAGTACAGCTCAGGGTAGGTTAGAACCAGCCCCACATATCTGGGGTCAGTTCTTTCATTAACTGTGTAACCCTCTCTCACAGAATCCTTCACCTACACTGACTTTGGTCACTCAGAATCTCCTACATGTACAAGCTTTACAGCTGAAATTTTACTGTTGAACTCCGATGACAGCAAGGCAGTTACAGTCCTCCTCAATGTCAGCTTTCAAAGAACTGTTAATATTGAAGTAGTTATGTACCCTTAATATTTAGCCTTGCTTGAAATTAGATTCCATGTAAATATAAAAAATTTTCTGGTGCCAGAGAAACTTAGAAAGCAGGGAAAGTCTCCTCTCCAGTATGCAAATATGAAACCTGAGTTATCTTTTTCTGTTTTCCCACTCAAGAATGACATCAAGCTCTCTGATGATGGCTGCTGTAGAGAGTGCAAAAGGATAAAGAGTAAGTAATGGTAATTTTGTTAAGACTAAGTAATGATAATATGTGCCTTAGTAGGTATATTAGTCCATCTTGCATGGTAGATGCATAGGCAGAAGAGGTGAACACACCAGGTTTGGGACCACTGCCTCATACTGAGGTAGAAAAGGAAACAGGTGGAAAAAGAAAGGGACAGAACATTTCCAGCAAGCACTTTAGGGTCTTGGAAAACACTGATACGGTGAACTTTCCCATCTCCTAGTGTTAAATGCTAGGCTTTTTGTGGGAGGAAGAAGATTATTACTGCTCTCCAACTTCCACAGATACATTCTCTTTAAGGAAGAAAATTAAGCCAGTCCTGGGAGGTTGGTGTGCACTGCACAGTTGCCACAGTACTGCTTTTTATTTCTGCATCCTGCACCTAAGTAGCATTAAAAAAATGCTGAATTTTTCATTTATTGATAACACAGGCAGGAAAAGTAATTAGCTCTCAGCAATTAAAAAAGAAATGCACTGTGACATAATTTCTTGTTGCAGTTCCTTTCATCCCAATTTTCTACTATGACCTATTATACACAGATATCTATTTAAATACAGATATATTTTAACATATTTCCCCTTGGTTTGTAACAACCTCAGTTTGTCAGAAGCACAACACTAGTATGGTCATCAAGTATCATGGATGTGTGTCTCCTACACCTGTTGAGATGTCATACTGTGAAGGCAACTGTGACGCTTATTCACGGTAAGTGGTATAAAATACAATTGTGGTCTGTTGTCTTCTACTCCTTATACTAGTTACACAAAGCAAATCACAAGTAATTTTCTCATATGCCAAACATTCACCCAGTCATCAGCTCTTTCCATTGTGCTAACTAGGATTTTTAACAGACATGATGTTGTACTAGCTTAATTACTTCAAGACTCACAATGTTTTACTAGCCTGTTCAGTGTCATAGTGAACAGACCTAAGTTTTTTGTTTGCTCATGTAAAAGTGAGGTTATTTGTTTTCACTAGTCTCTCATTTTGCACTGACTTAATATGTGATCTGGATTAATTAATGTAGTTTTTCTGTGCCTTAATGAAGAACTAGATCCACCCATTTTTACAATGAGGAGCAGCTTATACTTCATCACAATACTTTGAGAATGGTAATATTGAACAAGACTCCCACATGCAAGGACACATTTTGGTTATATTTAGTCATGGGTGGGAGGGGCAGTGGTATTTCTTCTTAAATTTCTGAATTTTTCTCTTTTATTTGTTTTGTTATCAGATATTCCCCAGAGGCTAACACGATGGAACATAAATGCTCATGTTGTCAGGAAATTAAGACCAGCCAAAGAAAAGTGACTCTGACATGCAGTGACGGAACCCATCTTGACCACTCATACACCTATGTGGAGAAATGCAGCTGTGTGAGTGCCGAGTGCATTCCCCAAGCCAGCACCCAACAGGAAACAAACCAGATAAAGGCTTCAAAGGAACAAGAAAATGCGTAAAATTAGAACTACAGAGAAGAAGTCAAACGAAGTCTAAACATAAGACTAAAAAACCAACAAACTTAAAAAATAAATATTTTTTTTAAGTGTCAAAAGCAGCTAAAATTTGGGATGAACAGATTATATTTTCTCCCTAGAAACTCAATTTGTATGTCTACATTATTTCAGTTTTCATTATAAATATATCTCCCATTGTTTTTTACATCTTTGCTTTTACACCTGCAGCATGAGATTGTTTTGACATTTTCTGTTACATTTTTTATCTTCCGAAAAGTGTGCTACCGTAAGACTGAAGCTGGATTTACACATGCACCAACAGACTAAGTCTATTATGAGAACAACATTCTTTGCTGGATCAAAGCTTGCCTGTGTTGACATTATATAGACACTTGACAATATCTTATACTTCCATTGATGTAGACTGACTTTTTAAATAACATTTTTAATTCCAGTTCATTGAGAAAAACAAACAAACAAAACCCAAGGAAAATTGTACCTCTCTGTTTCTTCATTATTTTTTGCATTAAGGAAAACGTAAACTGCTGAAAGTCATACCTTCTCAAAACTCTAAATGTCAATATTTTCAACAATTTATGATGGACAACCTATATATTCTGCTGGGAAAAGAAGGAAATCTGATCATAAGAAGCTGCTACACACTACTCTTTGTTTACATAAAATCATCAGCATACTAAATGTATGAAACTAGAGATTTTTTCGTTTTGTTTGTGGTTAACTGTTTACAGAAGAAGTATATATTTTATTTTTTTTTGCCAACACAGGCATACGAAGGATTTTTGTAAACAAAAGTTAATAATAATAATAATAATAATAATAATAATAATAATATGTAAATTCTTTCCTAGGGAGCTTTTAAAAGTTGAACCATTGCTATTTATTTTGTTTTTGGAAAATTGATTTATTGGGTCATTTTTTTCAGAATGAATATTATCCCATTACTTAGTCTTAGTCACGTCCTCTGGGTGTGGTATGTTTTCTTCTATTTTGTTTTGGAATATTGTTTATTTTTTGTTCCTTATTAAACCATGTAATGATGATTAATAAATCTTTAAGCATTTTACAGCATGTCTCCTTTGACTTTTCACTGAATCCCTCACATCAGAGCTGCTGACCCCACAAAATACTTGTTTCCCATCATGCTACATTCATTTCTCAATAGTTCCATGTCAAAAGTCAATCTAGACTGTGGAACTTAACCTGCTATAGAGTTTTGATACTGTTTTGAATGAAAGGCACTCAAACACAAAATACTGCAAGAGGTCCAACCACCTCACTTCAGACACTAGCAATTAATGAGCTTCCAGTAGGCAAGCACATCTTGGAGTCTCTACATATTTTGTAGCTCTGAAAGTTCTTTACCTGACAGACAGAAAGTATTCAAAGTATTCCAAACCAGTCTCAAAATGTAGATCCTATTGCAACATGCATAAATCACTTTTCCTTATGCACCCCAGGATTTCATTGGTCTTCTTGGCCACAAGGACACATTGCTGTCCCATGGATTGTTGCCCAGCAGGTCTCCAAAGTCCTCCTCCATGGAGCTGCTTTCTAGCGGGTTAGCTCCTAATCTGTACTGGTGCGTGTTGTTGATCCGTCCCAGGTGCAGGACTCTACACTTATTCTTGTTGAACCTCATTAGGTTCCCCTTTGCCCAACATCTCCAGTCTGTCTAGATCTCACTGCATGGCTGCACAGCCTTCAGGTGTATCAGCCAATCCTCCCAGGTAACGAGACAGCTTTAATTAAATACTAATAATAAATATTTAAAATGTACAAATATATACAAGCATGTGCAGGAATGTATAAAACCCTCTTGCCTCCCCCCACCCCCAGCAATTCCCCTGGCATCTCCTGAGCTGGGAGCAGTTTCGAAATGTCCTGGAGCTGCCGGAGAGAGCGGCAGAGTAGACAGAAGCTGAGGGGAGAGTTGTGAGGGTCAGGAGTGCATGAGCCTGGGGATAGATGATGATGGATAGATGGAGTCCTCCCTGGACACCAGCCATGGATGGAAGAAAAGGGAAGAAGAAGCAAGAAGGGTTTTGCATGGATGAACAGGGAGCTCCTGGACAAGCTCAAATACAAAAAGAAAGCCTACAGGTGGAAGCAAGAACAGGTAGCCTGGTAAGAACACAGACTAATTGCCTGAGCAGCCAGGGATCAGGTTAGGAAAGCTAAAGATGAGATAGGGTTAAATATGGCCAGGAACATCAAGTGCAAGTTAATTTGCTCCAATTTCTCTCCCTCCTTCCCCCCCAGCAACTTAGAGGGGAAGGGATGGGGTTTAGAGTCAGTTCACAGGCTGGTGGTTCCTGCCACTCCTTCCTCCTCAGGAAGGATTCCTTACAGTCCTTCCCTGCCTTCCTACAGGGTTCATCCCATGGGAGAGAGTCCTTCACAAATCTCTCCACGATGGGTCCCTCCCATGAGGTGCAAGCCCTCTGGAGCAAGCTGCTCCAGCATGGGCTTCCCATAGAGTCATGGGCTGCTTCGGAAACAGCCACCATCCGCAGGCGGAGGCGGTGGCCTCCCTGCGGAGGCGCAGGGTCCTCCATGGTTGCAGGTCCAAGTCCATGGGCTGCAGGTCCACATTTGACCCCCTGGCGCCTTCAGGGGATGCTCTGCCATGTTCCTCTACAGGCTGCAGGTAGACAGTCTGCTGTCTCTCCATGGGCTGCAGGGGAACTTCTGCTCGGGCACCTCCTCCCCCTTCTTCCACACCAACCTTGAGATCTCTGCTCTGGTACTGCTCTGACCTCTGCTCTTCAAATTGGCTGCTCTCCTCTGCTCTCCTCTGCTCTCAGCTTTCCCCATCTTGCATGTTAATCACAGAGGCTGTGTCTCTAATGGCTTGGCCATGGCCAGAGTTTTGGAGTTGGGGGAGCTTTTCAGCTTCTTACAAGAGCCACCCCTGGCGCCCCTCCCCTGCTACCAAAACCCACACCAAACCAGCACAGGTGCTCAGAGAATTTGTGGATGCCCCTCCCTGGAAATGTCTGAGGAGAGATTGGATAGGGTTTTGAGCAACCTGATCTAGTGGAAGGTGTCCCTGTCCTTGGCCATAGGATTAGAGCTAGGTGGTTTTTCAAGTTGCTTCCAATCCAAACCGTTCTATGTGTACAGCAAGCCATGTAGGCACATAGGACCTGTGGCTGAGGGTATGCTGGAGACCCTGCCTCAGAGAAGGAAGGATCTCTATCTCAGATACTGTCGCAATGCTGGGAATGAGCATATGGGAGCCTGCAATTCAATACAAGGAGAACAGGGAACCCCATGCTTTGGGCATGAAAGAACCTGTTGGAAGGACTTGCAGGGACTCCCTGAAACATGACACCAAGTAAGTGAAAAACAGGGAGCTGAAGCAAGTGTAGTAGACCAGCTTTACAGGCTTCCTAAAGTTTTCCTTTCATAGGACCTCTCTTTGCTCTAAGTTATTGCTGACGCAGACTGAGCAATAGCTTCAAAGTAAGCTTTTCTAAAAACTGGGATGACTGAGATCAGTTCAATATCTGGGAGAAAAAAACTGCCAGTTTTTAAAACCGTATGTAAATAATGAAGTCAATAAACAGGTAAGTGGAAGAAAGCAATTGGCTAGGTAGCTCTTTTTTGCTACAGGTTAGAATACTGTGCAGGTCACACTCAGGAGTAATTAATGTCTAACACACCAGCGCGAACACTAGAGGGCTCTCGGCTCACAGTTTGCAAGCCTGGATGAAAAGTTTTGCTATCCGAAGGGTTTCTTTCAAGACACTTCGAAATGAGCCACATAATAATTATTGCCTTACTTTCAAATAATTAGATTAAGGTTGCTCCTAGCTTACTCCTGAATCTGCAGGCATCTGTTCCACAAAACATACCACGATTAGTTTATGCCTTACTTACATAATCATATGTGTAATCATATGCCTTACTTTTAATCATATTTGAAAAACATCTGCAGGCATCTGTTCCACAAAACATACCATGATTAATTTATGCCTTACTTATATATTTTTTTAATCATATTTGAAAAAGAGATAAATTGCAGCAAAGAAATAATTCCCTTAGGACAGAACTTATTCCAGCATTACAAAAACTATTCAACGGCTGTCAGCAGTCCTTCCTTGGACATTTGAATACTTCCTCCACACTGAGGACTCCTGTTAGATAGACGAACTACTGCATGGCCAGGTTTTGGGGTTGTTTTTTTTCCTCTTTTCCACACAGCATTTTAAAACTCTGCCGTGTAAAGTACAAACCACTAATAAACACTTTTCAGCTATGCTTTGTAGCTATCAGTAACATACAAAATAGAACCTGAAATTGCATGTCTGTTCAGACTTATGGCTTAGGAGTCCACTTCAAGTAATTTATTTGACTGTTAAAACACGATAGCCACCTTTTAAGCCACAGCAAATTCTGAAAAGAGCTATGAAGAAAATTAGGATTGTTAATGGCTGTTCTGGGTTAGTGCGGTGGGGTTTTGGTAGCAGGGCCACAGGAGTGGCTCCTTCAAGAACCTGCTGGAAGCTCACCCCGGCTCCAATTTCAGCCCTGCCTCTGTCGAGCTGGTTAGGGAAACTGGATGAGCCTCTGTGAGTAACATACTCGAGAAGGGTAAAAGGAAGCTGCAAAAAAGACCAGCAGGGCAGAGAAGAGAGGGAGGCGAGAGCAGTACTGGAGCAGAGATACCAAGGTCAGTGAGGAAGGAGTGGGAGGAAGTGCCCAAGCAGAGTTTTCTCCAATCCATGGGGAGAGGGCAGGCTGTCCCTCTGCAGCTCATGGAGGAGCCCACCCACCACATAGAGCACTTGTTCATGTATCTGCTATTTCACAGGAAAATAGATTATAATT